AAAAAAAAAAAAAATCACAAATGGTACACAAAAGGCGCCAAATCAGACTGTTCGCTCAGATAAACGAGGAAAAAAAACAAGCAATTATCCGCCAGTCGATAAAGTATGAAATGAGATATTGGGTGATTACTTGAGCTGAAGCGAAGCTCTTCGAAGTGCCCACATGGCGATTGTTCGAAATTCTTGGAGATTTGAAAGCAACAACCTTAAAAATGTTAAGAGGGAGATGGAGAGTGCGAATCAGAAGTTGTAAAGTCCTAAACCCCTTTTTCTTCATCTATCGCGATGAAGGTTTTATGAAAAAGAAAAACGCTTTGGTATTTGAATTTCTTTATGCTAATAATGAAATAAAACTACATGTGAGATTGATTGAATATATTTTTAGGGGATGATACGATTGTTGTGAAATCATTCTGTCGATTTTTGCAATCATAGATAATCATATAATCATCGAGAATAGATAATAATAATAATAATAATAATAATAATAATAATAATAATAATAATAATAATATCTTGAAACAATAAAATTATTTATACTTATGTAATTTATATTTAGAGTGAAATATTATGAGTTGGTAATAGCATTAACTATTATATAATATAATAGCAAAAAAATACATGATTACATTTAATAGGGTGTATTAATGTGAAAGACAAAATATGAATGAAAAATTTTGTAACTTCTTTTGGAGGGAAAGTAAATGAGGTTTTATTAATTAGGTTTTATAAATACATGCTTACACTTAATTAGGTTTTATGAATGATACTATTATTATTATTTTAATTTTGTATTTCATGAAACAATTTTCTTTAGAAACAATTAGTAAATTGTTTTAATAGTATAGGAAAAAACTTTAGAATCTTATAAACAATTGTCATTGTAATAAGAATAGTAACAATAATAATAATAATAATAATAATAAAATTTTCAAGTAAATTATTTGACCATGCTCCAAATTAACAAAATTACATTACCCACAAGTTTTTTAATCAATATAGTGATTCATATGTACTCAAATAATTTATATAAATATTATTTTATTTTTACTCATGATTAAATTTTGAAAATGTGGTATGTCCATTATCTAGAATTTTAATATTAAATTCACATATCTTGAAAATGTGATATGTTTATTATCTAGAATTTGAATATTAAATTCACATATCTTGAAAATGTGATATGTTTATCATCTATATTTTAATATTAAATTCACACATATTAGTTATAATATTTTATGCACATCTGTACATGTGCACAGGATGATAACTAGTGTTAGTGAAACTCACAAGGGATCCCACACAAGGATACTATTTGTCATTAATATTTAATAGTGAATAATTAAATTAAATAACTTCTTAGAAAGAAATGGTAAACGTAGAAAATGCCCAGTATTCATACAACTACAAAAAAAAAAAAGAAAAAAATAATAAAAAATAAAAAATAAAATAAAATAAAAAAAATGCATAAAAATAACTGAAATCTCATAAATATTAACCATCACACAAACGATCAAAATAGAAAATATTAAAACAAAGTCGAAACTTACAAACCATCTCCAACAACATATCGTTATATCTGGGGATTTAAAAAAAAAAAAAAAGCTAACAATGTTCCAAGAAAATTCTCAAGAGTCAAAAGTATATTTTAAATCCTCAAGAGCTTCGTCTAGTACTCCAAACTTGATCAACCAGACTCCAATCACTGCAAAATACCCGAAGAAAATTAGGAAAAGACCAACACGAAAACATACAACTAACATAAAGTTGTATGGTTAGTTGTAAGTGGAATTTTGAGTTTTTATTAAAATAAAATTTAAAATAAAATAATTAAAGTTGATCTAATGCAAAAGTAGAAGAAAAATGATGTAAAGTGATGTTTAGTTAAAATTATGTGAGTTGATCAAATTAAAGTTGATGTGATGTGTAAGAATGACTGGTTGATATTAATTAATTATATTGATAATTTGAGAATAATGGAGTTGAGTTAAAGTTGATTAAAATTTTGAGTATAGATTGAAAAATTTATAAACAAACACAACATAGACATATTCAAGTGGCAATCTTTGAGACCAATATTCAAGTGGCAATTTGTTAAAATTTATAAATTAGGTAACCAGAGCAACACAACATAGACTAATCTTTGAGACCAATATTCAAGTGGCAATTTGTTAAATATAAAAATATTCAATGGAAAATTTGGTATTTTAAAATACTTTAAATAAATAAAAAAAAAAAAGAAGCTGCATGGCATCCTTCATTACTAACCTACCATAGTAATCAAATATGATGGACCTATGCAACACATACAGTAAATTGCTTGTTTTTCACTGACAAGCCACAAAGACATACATAAAGATGCACATTTTCATGTAAGATGGCTAACAAGTGACTAAGTGAATAACGCTGAAAAACAGAGTGTATACTGAATCAAAGGAGTGTTACAGTTTACCTCAAATGTTGCTCGGGTACATGAACACCCTTACTCTATCTCCCTGTACCACAGAACATTAATAGAAATCATTAGTAAACAACTACTGCAACTTTGCAAAATCCACCAGGACAAACCCAATGTTAATTTGTCTAAACAGATGAATCCATGCATTTTTCGGCTGTCAATTCAACATAAACTTCTTAACAAGCTATCAACTACATTCCATTCAAACATTCACACACATGAAGACACACACGAGAGCAAGCATAAATGCCAACATAATATAGATGAACCCAAACATACACTTCACAACACAACGGTGAATAAACAGTAGAAATGCCTATACAAACCAAACCCATCACCAACACCCATTCTCACCTTACTTGGTTCAATAAATCAGCATATCACAAAATGCACCTACATCATTCTCAAAAACATCATTGACTCATTCAATTCCACAAATCCACTTAGATGAGCTCAAATATACAGTTCACACAACCAAGAATAGATGATAGAAATGCCTATACAAACCCATCACCAACATTCATTCTCACCGTACTCAGCTCAACAAATCGAAGTACCACAAAATGCACCTCAATACAATTCTCATGAGCGTCATTCGACTAATTCAATTCTCATGACCATACTCCGTTCATTAAATTGAAACATCACAAAATGCAACTCAATACCTCAATACCATTCTCAACAACGTCATCCATTCTCAATACCATTTCTGACTCATTCAAATTCACAAATCCACATAAATGAGCTCAATCTCACAGTTCACACAACTGTGAATAAACAATAGAAATGCCTGTACAAACCCATCACCAAAGTCCATTCAATAAATCGAACCACCGTCAAATGCACCTCAATACCATTCCCAACGGCATAATTCACACACATAAGTCCACAAACACAAAAACACAAGCAAAGGGAAACAGAACAAAAATGAAGATTTGGATGAAACTCTGCATACCATGGATTTTGGAGGCAGATTGGACTTGAACTTGGCTCGAACCACGCCGCTGTTTCCGTGAGGGCGCGTGACCTTCCCCCATATGCAGCGGTAGTGGGACCCATTCTTCTTCACCTTCGCCTTGTAAATGTAAGCCATTCGCTTTCCGAGGTACCACGACACCTCCTCCTGCGTGTTCACCCCCTCAATCTGTATCAGCGACGTGTTTGGGTACTGATTCGACTTCGACCTAAAGAAATACAAATAAAAGGAAAAATACTGTTCAATCTAACAGCAGCAGCCAAACACGGTACAGTGATGAAACTTGGTTGTGTGATTGTACCTTTTGTATCCGAGGATTGTACCACGGACATATAGTCTGACGCGCTCGCCTTGCCTCCCCTTCACCATTGTTGCCGCCTCCAAAGCTTTTTCGAGAGCAGAAAATGATGAATTGATTATGGCTGGTATAACAAACCCTAGGTTTAGAGATTTTATATGTGTGGTTTATTGGGCTTGTGCCCTGGTCCAATGTCTGTACAGTAAGCCCGAAAACCTTCTTTTGAGCCCATGTTCTTGGGTCGCCAAGCCCAAGCTCAACTCGTTAGTATCAAACATGAGAAAGATTATAGAAAAAATGACACCCTCAACTATATATTTAAACATTTTACATCAATATACCTACTTATTATTTAGACACAATTTTTTTTTTCTTTTTAATATATACTTTTTTCATAGACGCAATTAGGTTTTAAATTTTTAGACCCTATTATATTAGTAACTTCCCCGCAACTTCTTCTCCTTCTTGTAAGTTCTTATTTTTCTTTTTTTTTTTTAATCTTATTTTCTTATTTTTTTTCCCCTGTTTTCTTTATCATCTTCTTTTTTTTTTTTTGTTTCTAATTTTTGTACTTCTTCTTCTTGTTTCAATTTTTTGTACTTCATCCTTCTCAAATTTGCATAATTCCCCTCAATTTCTCTTCACCGAAACCGCGTCATCCTAGTGAGTGGTGTTCCGGGCCCGCCACTAATTTAAATATCGGAATGGATTATTGCACCTGTTGCACCCGTCGACACCCCTTCATCTTCAATTCTGTTAGTGTCTTTTTTTTTTTTCTTTTTCTTTTTCCTTCTTTATTTTTAGTGTATTTTTTTCATGAGAAATTTGATGCATGTTATGCTGGCACAATCGAGTTGTTCATTACTTTGCCTTGGTTTACTGGTAATTTGTGCTGATTTTCAGTAAGTGGACTTTATTTATCGCTTTTGCCCTGCAATGGTGAATTTGTGCCAATTAGACCCTCTTAAACTTTTAAGATTTAATGGTGGCTTGTATTTTTGCTTTTATTTTCGTAAACATATATTGAAGATAAATCTTTTAGATAATAATATCATGGTGAATATGTTACTGTTAATCGATTATGTTGCTTGAAAGATACTTTTATTATTGTTTTGTTGGTGAATATTACTGTTAATTGCTAATTGTTTTTATGTTGCTTGAAAGTTATTTTTATATTGTTTTATTTGTTGTCTATCATGTTTGTTTGTTTGTTTTTATAATATATATTATTTTTTTTAGCTACAATAAAAAATATTGTGTTGCTTTTTACTTAATTTCATTGATATTTATGTAAGCAATTCATCAATCTTTTTGTTTTTTTTTTTTTTTTGGACTGGTTTTTTAGGCATTCATGTATGAATTTGTAGAAGAAGACAGAATAAGAAAGAAAATGGAACAAGAAGAAGAAAAGGGAAGAAGAAGAAGAGAAGAAGAAGAAAAATGAAAGAAGAGAAAAAACGTGGAAAGGATAAGGAAGAAGAAGAAAAAGAAAAATCGTGGAAAGGATAAGGAGGAGGAAGAAGAAGAAGAACGTGAGAAGATTGAGTAGGAAGAAAGAGAAAAAAAAAATAAAATGAGAGAGGAATAAAGCAGTTACAAGAGATATGATTGAAATCAGTTTTTTATTTTATTAATCTCGTTTGGTATGAATTGGAGTAGTTTTGGAATTGTGGATAGTGAGCACTTTTATGGAATGTACTTTTAATAGAAGGTTAGTTGTGTATTTTTTCACTTTGAAATATGTATTTATTTTACAAAGTATTTATTTTGATTACAATTATACTATTTTTTAAGTATATTTTTGTCATTTATTTTTAATTTTATTGTGTTTTTCTTAACTCAATTATCAATTGTTTAGGTATTATATTATTTTTAATACCGATTGTTTCAAAAATAGAATAAATAGAAAAAACTAGTAACTATTTAAAGAGGCACGAAACAGTTGCTCGTTTAAGCTCGTAGTTTTGTCCAACAAATGACTAGGAGTAGTTCGGATATTTCTTATTGCATTGGTTGTTTTATTATTTATAACATTAGTCTAGGGATTTAAACGGGCAGAGTCGAGTCGAGTCGAGCATTAACTTTATCGAGCAAGATTGATTTTATTTTTAATTTGATTGATCTCGAGGTCGAGCTCCTCGAGCTTGATTTATGGCTATCGATATCGACTCGACAAAAGAAGACAATCGCTAGAGCTTGGTTTGAGATCGATTGAAATCAAAATGCTCGAAAGATTGTTGGAGCTCGACTTGAGTTAGACTCAAATTTCAAGTAAAATTACAATTCAGTACATACATAAAATATTGTAATATATATAAAGGGTATTTGTAATTTATTACATATCGCGAGTCGCCCGACCTTTTAAAACCTATGCTCGAGATCGAATAGATAACATGCCCAAGCCGTCCGAGCTCCGCTCGAGTCTGATCAAACTCGAGCTCGAGCTGAGCTTTGACTCGCGAGTTGCTCGGTTCATTTGTAGCCTTACATTAGTTGTTTTATTGGGCCATATATTGTTTGTAGTGTTAGAGGGTGTATTCATGTGGGATTTAGAGTGATATTTTGAGATTTGAAACTTTTAAAAATTTTCATATTTTAGACAAATCTCGTGAAATCTAAGTCTGGAGGCGAGATTTTTAAGTAGAATTTCGTATAAGGTTTCTTCTTTAAAAATCTCAATGAATCTTAAAAACTCTTAACAAATTATAACCTCAAATAAGTTAAATCCCTCATAATTTTGTAGAAATTTCTAATATCCCAATGAATACCCAAGACTCTTAAATGTCTTAAAACAGTCCGAATGTATGTTTTGGTACAAAAGCTAGTTGTTATGGAGTTTTTAATTGAATTTTGTTTTTGGTTTTTTTTTTTTTTTTAAGAACACAATAGAAAATGTAATTGTCCATATATATAATTATCGAATTCGCCGAGTTTAAGTGAAAAGTTTGTGTACTTCATAAGCTTATTTGGCATAATTTGGTGTTTCGTACGGACACATGTTCAGGTTTGGTTTTGACCATTAGGCTTGAGAATTACCATAAACTATTTTAACTTTCTTTTTTTCTTAAATTACCATATACTACTCTTACCTTTTATATTTAATTCATATACTATTATAAATATGTATTTTTATTATATTTTAATCTTTTTAACTTTTTATTTGTATTTTATTTTTTTATATATGATCTACTAAAATAATTATATTTTAACGATCTTCGATTTAACATCCATATTGCATACATAAAATAAATATTAATTTCATCTAAATAAAATTATTTTTATTATCAACTCAATTTAAAATACATAAAATAAAAATATAAATTATTTTATAAAAATAATAAAAAATCTTATTCATTAATACACCATAGAATAATTATTTTATTGTTTAATAATTTTTAGAAAATAAAAATAAAAATAAAGCATTACATAAATAAATTTTAATAAATATTGTAAAACATTATTTCTAAATTTAAATAAATTATTTAAAAAATGAACATTGTTATGTTATTTGAAATAGTAAAAATAAAAGAGGATTATAATTAAATATAATAAAATAATTTTATATTTCATAAGGTTAAAAAATAATATATTTCTACCTAAATTATGAATTATTAATCATATGAATTTAAAATACTTGAAAAATTAATAGAAATGAGACACTGACTTTATAAATAGAAAATATAATTACAATACAATATAATTTGTTTTGTTTAAAAAACAAATCAAATATATGAAATTGTAAATAATATCAACTTTAAACATGTACAATTTTAAAAATATAATTAAAAATATATTTTTTTGATAAATTTCGTGTAGAAATACGGACACCATTTGAATTAATCTTAGAGTAATGCTATTTAGCCCACTTGGTTGACAACTTCGGTTACAACTCAAGTATAAATGCTTTATTAAAAATTAAAAAATTATGCATTTACACTTATGTTGTAACCAATGTTGTCATCCAAGTGGGTTTTATAGCATTACTCTTAATCTTAACTTTATTAGTTATTTTATTATCGTTGTATATTCATTATATATAATTTCACAATAAAATTATAAATTATTTTTACTTTTATTTTTATTGCACAAAGTATTAATTTTAATTACGTAGTAAGTACCAAGTATTCACCAAAACCCAAACTCACCAACCAACCAAAAGGCCGCCATGATAACGCCACCCCCTCCACAACACTCGCTCTCACCGGCTGAAATTCATTTACTTCCTCCTATCTCCGCCCCAAGGCCCCCAAACGCGCGGCTCCCTCCCTCCCCACCTTCCCTAGTCCCCACCAAACTCTCCCCACGTCACTAGCACCTTCGCGCCCCTGTCCCGTTATCTTCGATTCATCGGCTGTCGCTCGATTGTAACAATGGAAGATCAGGGCTGATGGAGAAGGGCTTGGACACGCCTGCTGCTGTTCTGAATGATCAGACGACTACTTCTGTTGCAATTGTGGACGTCGATTTGGGAATCGGAGCTACCCGATTTACATCGGGTTGGGTCTTCTCAGCCAGCCCGAGCTCCTGCAGAGGTATATTTAGCTGCATTGCTTAATTGGGTTTACTTGTTCCGGTTTTATTTCTATGTTACAACTTTTCATTTTGTGTTATGTGTTCGTTGTTGGTTTGCTGGATTCACCTTGTTCCAGTTGTGTTCGATGAACCTTGAAAATTCTCTGCAAATTTCTTTTTGTAGCTAAATCCACAAATACAAGCTGTGTGAACCATTACCTAATTCGTAACCATAGCCTTGTGGTGGCTCGCTCAGTCGCTTATCGTGTTTTTCGATTTGTTTCTTTTTTATACATCATATTTCCTGATAAAATCACATTTAATTTATATAAGGTACTCCCAAACAGCAACATACATTTTTTGTCCACTAGACCGCCAGTGCATCCGATGATGTTTACTAAGAAAGGTTCAAAGTCAAAAGCAACATTCTCTGATGCAATAAAGTTTTGTGACGATTGAGCACAATCATCTATTTATATTTAATGAAACTTATGTGGGGGATTGTAATATTAAGTTTCATTAATGTGGTCTTATCATTATTTTTTATTAAGCTTTTGGC